TCAGCTCTGGAAGGGTGTTGAAGTGCGTTATTCCTTAATAGAAAAACAGCAGCTGTGTATTCTGCCTTGATGGCCACTGAAGCTATCACAGGAACTGCCAAAGTCCTAGTAAGGACAACATACCCCATACTAGGTTGGCTGCACATGTGGGCAACTTACCCTAAAATGGGCATAGCTCAGACTCCCACTTTGTCTAAATGGGGAGCATATATAGTACAAAGAAGCACTGTGTCAATGAGTCCTCTGTCCAAAGAGTTACAAACTGTGCTAGGACCAGGAGAGGTTGTGGAAGAAACTTTGACACAACTGTTACCCATAGAGGTGAAGGCTACACCTTTCCATGAGGGACAGGGACCTATCACAGAGCAAGCTTTGTATACAGATGGCTCTAGCATGGGACCCTCAGCATCATGGACAGCTGTTGCTCCAGCCCTTAACAGATACCATGTGGTATGAAAACGGCACAGGGCAAAGCAGTCAGTATGCTGAATTGAGAGCAGTATGGATGGTGATAAAAAATGAGCCAGGGCATTAACCATCTGTATTCACAGCTGCGCTGCATACAAAGGTTTAACCCTTTGGATCTCTACTTAAAAAAGCAACGGTGGATGGTAGGCCACCGACCCCTGTGGGGACCAGCCATGTGGCAAGAGTTATGGGAATTGGGGCATGAGAAAGAAGTAACTCTTTTCCATGTCACAGGACATTTCCCCTTAGCCAGTCAAGGAAATGAGGAAGCCGATGCCTTGGCTAAAGTAAGATGGCTGGAGAGAGCCCCAGCTACTGATGTAGCCCAGTGGTTACATCAACAAATGCAGCATGCTGGAAGCAAAACCATGTGGAGGCAGCTCGAAGATGGGTCTTGCCTATAAAATGGGAAGATGTAGGAATGCCTGTCATGCTTGTCCAGTATGTGCTCAAGAGAGTCCACACCCCCCGGTGGGTGCCTCATACAGATGGGCAAATAACTCAAGGAAGGGTGCCCCTGATACGATGGCAAGTGGATTTTGTTGGACCACTGCCAAGGTCAGAATTTCAGATACATCTTCACAGCTGTTGATATGGCTACTGGTCTTCTGTTTGTATGGCCTTGTAAGGCCCCAGACCAGGTAAACACTAAAGGCATTGAATAGCCTTACAGCCATGTATAGCCAGCCTATAGTCATAGAGAGTGATAATGGAACCCACTTTACTGGACATGAGGTTCAGAAGTGTGCTTCCCAGTTGTCTATTCAGTGGAAGTTACATATGCCATTATCATCCTGGGAATGATTGCATGGTACAATGGTCTTTTAAAAAAGGGACTAAGGCTATCTATCTGCCCAACCCCCATCCCTAAAGGGGTGGGCATGGCGATTATGGCTGACAGAATTCTAAATGAGAGACCCCACAAGGGCAGGCTGTCTCCAGTGGAAGCTCTGTTGCATAGGGCTGTGGCACCGATACAACTGCAAGTCACTACTAAAGATAAGCTTTTGAAGCCAGGACATGGCAAGAGAATGGAAATATTCTTACCAGCCCCAACTTGTTTACAACAGGGACAGACAGTACAATAGGAATGGCCTTGGAGAGTAGAAGCCCCCCATATATGCTGGGTAGGCCTAATAGGGCCTTGGGAGAAAGAATTAGAAGATGGCTTGCAAGTTTTGCCTTGGGTGACAAGTACTTGGCCTCCTCAAGTAAAGGTAACATGGCCTGGAACAGATAAGCACTCTATTCCAAAGGGCACATTTGTATTATTATTATGGCCAATTATGAGTTCCCCTATACTGTTACATGCAGAACCTACAGATCCAACAGTGTTAGCAGATAAAGTATCGTAAACCAGGTAAGATACCTATTCCTGCAACCATTCTGTCTCAGGGTGGCAAACTGGCATGTATCTTACCAGAGGGGTGGGAACTTCCCCTATTCATACCAATAACCCTTCTGTCTCTTTGCCCATAGTGTTCTGGCTGCAGGCACCGCACCAGAGTCAACTGGGTACATACATACGTTCATGTGATCAATGTGTCGGCCTACTGAATATGCACTGAATTTCCCATCAGTATGACTACAGGATTCCCATGGAAAATCACACCAATAATGACTACTAACTGGCCATGAGTGGCTAATAGTTGAAAGGACAGAACTACAGGACAAGCCTTAAGGTATATTTGTTGCTTTGCCCCCCACAGATTTGTCACCCTACTTCCCCTGGGTGACAAAGCCGCAAAGGATTACTCAAAACCCATCTCTTCTGAGCAGTGAGAAGCCCCAAAGTGGTTAATCTCCCCTGGAATCCTCAAGCGAGAGGCATTCCTTCCTTGGGAAATTAACCCTGAGTTGGGGTTCTCTTCGTGCATTTATTTTCCAGACCAGGAAGTTACAGGAAGAGAACATAGGTGGGGTTATAGTTTAACAATATAGACTGGTAACTTACAGTGAAACAAGTCAGATGACATTCCATTAAGGCAATTAAGTGGTCCACCAACAAAAGCTTGATCTTAGCAAACATTCCCTTCTTACAGCAATCTCTCAGTCATTACATGTCAATCAGTAACTAGTCTGTCCTTGAGCCAGCAACCTTGCTGTGCCACAAATCTTTATCTTACAACAGAGACTTTATAGCCTGAGGAAAACTTCCTGTCCTCCGCAAGGTCAATATTTGAAACTGCAAGGCTTTGGAAAACCAGTCCCATAAAGTACATTTGCTTTATGAATCCTCTACCCATACTGAACAGACAATAGGTTATATGAATGTAAGGGTCATTTATCCTTGCTAAGGGAACATCGTGGAAGATTCTGAACACATAGATTGTTCGGCAAGGGACCCTGAAGGGGTGGGTCGTTGGGAAAATACAAAAAAATGGTAAGGGCCCCTCGGATGTTCAGAATCTTGCTGAGTATCTGGTGTGGGCGGGGCCGCTGGTCATGTTGAGGCTCCATCTTTCCCTTCCAACCACTTCTACTCTGGGCTGCAGCCACTGGCAGAGGTGTTTTGGATTATGGACTTGAGTATAACGGACTAACGACTCTGATACACAGTGCTTTTGAAGACGCTCCAGGAAGCCACTAGGGTGGCTGCTCCTAGCTCTGAATAAAGCCTATTAATCTTTCACCCACAGCTCCCAGGGCCTTTTCCTATTACCTAGCTCATAGACCTGTGTGTGGAGGGGTTTGTGACCCAGTCTGGACAATGAGCTTGAGGGGTCTGTGAGCCCTAGCCCTAAGCTTTACAAGTGGTTATTTTAACAAGGCTTTGACTGGAATGGCATATTTTCAGCTATCACCATACTGCTTTAAGGAATTGAGGCTGACCTTATGAAGCCAGTAAAAAGCCCCTGGGAAAGAATGGCCTGATACCTTGTCTACATGATTACAGGGTTCCTGGACTTGAGGTAAGTAAAGAATGTAACTTTCTGACAGGCCAGAATCTTGATATTTTGGGGACCTCCAGAAGAGAGAAATTCACTCAGCTCATACAGGTAATCACAGAGTAAGTCAAATCCTTGGGTTGGCTTTCTTTTGAAAATCTAATCTGAGATTCCTCATAAAAGTCCTAGCAAAGCCAACTCGGAAAGAGCCTATATGATAAATCGTCATTCTTGCTGCACTTTATGCAAATAATCTGCCAGAAACTAAACTTATTTTGTAAATAAATTAGTCTTGTCATAAATATCTTTGGTAAAAATGGGAATCTTGGAGAGAAAAAATTATGTTTCATAAGAAAACTATGGTACACATTAATAAATTCAAGCCCCGTCTTTCTAATCTGTTAGTAAAGTTTGTATCTTCCAGGCTACAACAGTCCTATATCAAGATGTAGGATTCCAACCCATCCCCTCCCAAGAGGAACTGAGTCCCTATAAATCACTAATTAGTCAGCAAGAGATTTTTACACCTCCAAAATGTAGACAGGTACTACACTCACAGCCAGGAAGTAGATTCAGAAGAATAAGACTTCCAACCCCTTTCTCCTTAAGAACAGGGAGGATAAAATCTCTCAGGGGGAATGAGACACAATCGTGTTAGGCCTGTGAACCAAACTGACTCCATTTTCCCTACAGAGGACATTTTGTTACAAACTACACTTTTTCACTCCTCAGTCATGAGACCCCCAGCATGCATAATTACCCCATGGCTCTGATAAAAGTGACTGAAAGAAACCCATTGGGTGTAACTGACCTGATAAAATAAACTGAGATAATAACAAATATTTACTGAGTTGCAAAACCCCTTCCCCAAGGCTTGTTAAAATATAACTGTTAGCTCTGTTTAAAACTTATCATTATGTACCTATTCTTTCTATTCCCACCATTGTAAACAGTAAGTTACAGATTAACCTTAAGACCTCCTTTAGGAGTTTCATGCAGGACACTTCTAGACCCTATCTCCCTCACAACCACCATAAAAATACCAGAAATCATCAAAGCAAGATGCTGACATCAGTTGAGGAACTACTTACCTTTAAAAAAAACCCTTCCCCAACTTCCCCCAGAAGCTAGTCTGACTCCTGCATGCACAAAAAGCTTCAAGGTGACCACTACAATGACTCTCCTGGGTGGCAACAGTGAGCAACACCACCATCTTGGATCTATTAAGTAGGCACAAGAAGCAAAGCCCAAACTGGGCATGCACCTATGTCTCAACCAGGAAGAATAGAATGGACCACCTCCAGAGGCACAGAAGAATGATGCTGACCTGCACTCTTTGCCATATAAAGGACCCTGAACAGCTCCCTTTGAGAAGCTAGTTTCCCTATAGCTATCTCCCTTATGCATAAGCTCTCTTCTCTTTAAATAAAGCATTTCTTGCTTTACTGCTGGGTGCATTGTTCATTTCTATGACTTTGAGACCCAAGAACCTGGTCTGTTAACACCTTTGGTCTCAACATTATAACATTTTTCTTTTCAGGAAGAGACCTTAATATACCTACAGGAAGGAAATACCCTTCCTTACCTTATGTTAAAATACATTAACTCTTGCTTCCCCCTCTCCCCAAACACACAAAGCTGGAGTCACTGGGTAAAGGCATTTTATTTAAAAATTAACACATCCTGATTGTATAAATCAGTCACTCTCCACTTCCAAGTTCCATCGCCTGTGTTTGGGAGCAGAGTGTGTGGTATTTTTCTGGGCTTAAGGTGTAAACTGACATGGTATTCAAGAACTTTTCCAGCGGACAGAGCACATCAGGGCAACCTCTTGGTACTTGCACCTGCAGAAGAGATGTCACTCAGCAGATCCACTGAGGATCCCATTTTTCTGTTTTCAGCTAAGCCCAGAGGTCTGAGAGGCTCTGACCCAAGTGGTATGTGCATGCATACATATAACAGCCAGGAAGGCCCCACTACCCTGTCAGCTTCCAGAGTAAAAGCACTTCCCTTCTTGTAAATGGCATTCAAGAAATGTTTATTGAATTGACAGAGTCAAGTCATATCCCTGAACTTGCAGAGCTAAAGGTCTCATCCCTGGGGACTGCCCTAGCCTCTGCCCTGGATATCAACACTGACAAAGCAGCCAAGACATCAATGGTGTGACAGCACACATCACCTCCCAAAGACTCCACTGTTAATTTTCAAATTAGGCTTCACAATCAGGATGTTACATCCTGGCAAAGACTCTCCAGAGAAGAGAAGGAAGGTGGCCCTGTTTCTAGAAGGAGTCTGTAAAAGAACTGGGATAAGGCCCAAGTCCTATCCTACCACCATATGTCAAGTTTTGCCCTAGCCACAGGCCACAGCCATAAGTCACCCTATGGGATTCAGAGAGCTGACTGTACCAAGAGATTCCACTGCACCTGAGGAATGGGGACCTGGTTCTAAACTGGGGGGGTGGGGTTGGGGGAAGGATGCCTAGCCACCACCCAATCCCACTTCAGAGGTCTTACCTCCCCATGGTAATAGAGTTGCACAAACCACTCCTTGGATTCCTGGTGCTGGTAGAGTTCCATGGTCAGGTCAACAGCAAATGGGGGCCATTTGTGGTCAAAAATCCCCAAAGTCATTAATAGAGGCATCAAGGTCACATCATGAGCTGCATAGAGGTATAGCTTTCTGTAGGAGGAAACAGTGCTCCACAATTTTTTAGCTCAGTACTTTGGAGGCCAGAACACTGCCGGCCTCCTTTGAGTAAGCAAACACTTGCCTCAGAAACACTTGCCTAGAAATCACCTGAGCCTGGTATAAAACTCCTCTGAAGGAAATGATGATGAGAACCCTTATTCCTACTGCTCATGTTTTCATGAGGAGGGTCCCCACTGGAGTAATTCTCCTTGCTTCTCCTTCCCACCCACTAACTCACTATTCCCCTGGTGAGTTTCACAAAAGAAACTGAGCATGTGTAGCTTAGGCCCTACCTCTCTTCTTCTTTGGGCCCTGCTACGCTACAGCAAATGCTCTTCCTACTTTCAGCCATGGCATGAGTTTAGCAGGGCAAGCTCTGCTCCTTGTTGGGGAAGCTTGTAATTTGGGAGGATTAAGCTCATTTCAAAGGAATACTAATAAGCTCATTTGGCCTTCAACACATTCTCTAGATGGCTTTTATCAGTAATAAAGGTGCTATTTCAATCTACATCTGCCGGATGCCAGTATCTGTCTCTTGGAAAGGATGAAGGATTTTCTTTATTGACCTCCATCCTAGAAGACTAGCACTGGATCCTATAGTCTTCTACAGATACAAGGCAGAAGGTGGAAAGATGGCAAAAGCCAGCTGTTATTGCAGATACTGTGAAGGACAGGAAAGGGCATTCACATGATTTGCTATTATAAATCTTGGCCCAAAGTTACTGAATGTTCCTGTTTCAACTCACCATCCCCTACACCTCCCACACTCATAATTTTCTAGCTATGTGTAATCTCTCTCTCTCTCTCAAGAAGGTAACCTACAACAGTGCTTCTCCAACATTTGGGAGAATACAAATCACCTGGGGATCTTGTTAAAATGCAGATTCTGATTCAAAAGGTCAAGGCTGGGGCCTGAAAATCTGACAAGTTCCCAGGTGATGGTGAAGCTATTTGTCTGCAGACCACACTTTGTTTAACAACTGCCTAGGACACATAACATTCCAAATCTGTGGTCCCAATCTGGGGTTCCAGGCTCTACAAAAGTGGCAACGGAGGGTCATGATCCACACTTTGTTTAACAACTGCCTAGGACACATAACATTCCAAATCTGTGGTCCCAATCTGGAGTTCCAGGCTCTACAAAAGTGGCAACGGAGGGTCATGATCCACTTCCAACATTTCAAAATGCATTACAGATAATCATACCTTCTGAATACTCAGTAAGGGTGTTCAAATTAAACAATCTATTAAACAATTATCTTCACTTTGGACTACTATAGCAAATTAGTATGATATCATAATTGGCTACTCTGACACATGCTCAGTTAGTAAAAAAAAAAGGAAAAATAAATTTAGGTTCTTTTTTTCTAAAATAAAAATTTCAAAACATGGTAGGAGGGTTGCAGCAGGAAAAAAGGTAAAAACATTGTGAACCTCTTAAATATCTATCTTCAGTCAGATATTTGCTACTTGCTGTCACTGACAGCCTGGTTCTTGCCCCACTAAGATTTGAGTTCCCTCCTGCAGCCAGAGGCCCCGCTGCCTTCAGCTGCACTGAGCAGAGTTCCTGTACCAGGTACCTGATCTTGCCAGGTGGAGTGGCAGGGTCCACAGCTTTCAGCAAGTTGCTCTCCAGGATGTGGAGGAAGGGGCCTACTGCCATCTGAAGACTTTCCCTGTGAAAGTAAACAACATTTAAGCACCCAGCAGGCACACGGTACTCAGGGCAACTGGTTCTGTCCCCTAGGCCCTCATGAGCCCAATCAGACAGAGCTGAGAAAAAGACAAAGTTATGCATGAGGGATAGCAATGGGCGGGAAGGAGAAAAATGGTGCTGGGTCAAGTTTGAGGGCTCTCTGTGAATGAAGACTTCCAACAACAAAAGCATCGGGATACAGACCTGCTATAAACACAACTGAGATAGGAAGGACTGGGGCAGTAGGGAGTGGTAACCAGGTTAAGTTATCAAGAACTAAGCCCTGAGGAATAAAAGAACAAAGCTGGAAAGACAGGGGGTAATGATTTTCAGGAATTCCAAAAGGCCCTTAGAAAAGCAATCAGAAAGAATGACAACATCCTGAACTGTGTTTCCTATGTGCTAGGCTTCCTTCTTTTGGAGTTTAAACCATAAGGACATTATTTATTTGACTTAACGAGAAGTTCAGCAGGAGTACTCCCAGGGTGGGCTCTGTGGTTCCACCACTTTCATTTTCAGGCTGTTGCCTCATGATCACAAGGTAGCTACTGCAGCTCAAAGAGCATCCTCACAGTGGTGACAAGAGCAGGAAGATGGGGCTGGCAAGTAGCAAAAAGGCTTTGTTTTTGCGCCTCTCACTATTTATCAAAGAGAAAAAAAACCTGCCTATTCTTGAATTCCTGACCCAATCACTGACAAAAGGGAACAAGGTTGCCGGGATTGGTTAAGACCAAATCTTATTCATGGTGACTATGTGAATTGCCACCTTTATAAATCAAGGAATGCTAGAGCAATGGATGAAGAGGAAGCAATCTACATGGTACGAGACATATACTTTCCAAAAGAATGGGCACAAGCCAAGCCGAATTGGATGGCATCGTGCGCTTGCAACCACTTGTCCTTAAAGAAAAAGTTTTATGAAACCACAGCTAATTGGAATGGAAAGGACAAGGATTGAGTTCTGTTTAAAATCCTTTACACCAGGAAAAAGCAAACTATGGTGTGGGCCAAATCTGACCCGCCTACCTGTTTTTATGAAGAGTTATTAGAACACAGCCATGCTCATTTATTTGCATATTGTCTATGCTGCTTCATGTTACAAGGGCAGAGATGAATAGTTGCAACAGAGAGTGCATGGCCCGCAAAGCCTGAAATGTTTACTAAATATGTGTGTGTTGGCGAAGGGGAGGGCATTGAGTGACAATTTACGTCTGAAGCCACTTCATGAACAGAAAAGGGAAGTTGGCAAGTCCTAGGGAGGGGCAGCAAGCTGAGTGGCTTGGCTGGAGCCTTCTGGACGCCCTAGGCTAGTGCACAAGAGGACACGCTGACTCTGAGTGGGAGGAATGCAATCAGGGGCTCTTATTCTTAAACAGACTGTGCAAATTCTTGAAATGTTAGATGCTTCGCTCCTCCCTCTCCCAGGACTATTCCTCTACTACCCATCTCTCCCCTCTACCAAGTTACCTATTCTGAGTGCAAGCTGAATGGTCTTAAATCAATAAGAAAAAGGTGTCTTCTGAAATTTGGTAAGAGAGAAACTCTCCATTCTGGTAGTCAGCAAACAGAACCCTAAGTACCAGTAACATAGAGAAAACACAAGATTGGTAGCCAGAGGATCTGGGTCCAAGTCCTGGCTCTGTCACTTACTAGCTGAGCCTAGGCAAGGTAGCCAACATTTCTCAGCCCTAGTTTCTTTATTTATAATGCCAGAGATAATGACACCTACCTCATAGCGAGAACATGAAAATGATTTGTAAATTATAACGTGATGAATAAAGTAAGAAATAATTATTCTTCCTTAAGCTCCCCCCACCCAAATCCTTTGAACTTAAAGCAAAAGGAAAAAGTGAGTAATTAGATAAAGTCAGTTGGGTGGTGGCTCCTGGTTCTGTATAACGGAATGGAAGCATTAGGTCACCAGACCCAGCTCCAGAAGTATAAGAACCCAGGGACTGCTGGTAGGCTAGCAGAATGAGATGGTTTCAGCCTCTCCACACAAAGAGACACTAGCTGGCAGGTGTAAGTAGGCCTGATGAACCCCTCTTTCCCGTATAGTCGAAGGTCTGACCAAGCGTGACTTTATGCAAGCAGCTAAAGAGGCCCCTCACCTGTCTTCTCTTTGCAGGATGTACAAGGCTGTGTCCACAGCTCTCTGTTCAACCAACTGTGCAAATTTCTTTAGCATGGGGCAGCTCAGAAGGCTGTGTACCTGAAAGGGCCATGGGTACAGTTTTAGAAAGAAAACGCCTCTCATTTACTGAGCCTGGCAGCTGACCAGCTTCCATAGAGCCTGCAGGGGCCTGTCTTCTCCTGGGGAGGGCTTTAACAGCTCAAGAAGCTATGTCCCTGAGGCCCTTCTGAAGTTATTTCTACAGATATAAAGGCCTACAAAAAAAACCTGTTTTTCCTCCCTTTCTGATGGCTCCTACCCACTCCAAAATTTAAAAAAAAAAAAAAATTGTATTTTTTTAAACTTAAAAAAAAAGATGAATAAAATACAAGGCAAGGAATTCATAAATTTTTACTTTGCCCTTTTTTTCCTCAAAATGATTTCTAAAAAGTATGCCATTCAAATACATTATGTGAACTCCTTATAGCCTTGAACCTATTTTACAATAAGCACAAGGTACATTTCTGCCTTCAGGGTACACTGTCATTTTCACAAGAGAAGAAAGGAGGATCCTATACTCTCTTTGGATGTCCAACTTTTAAATCTAGAGAAAAATTGTCCATTATTTAGTCTTCTTTATGTGATAAATAGTTATCACATAAAAAGAAGATTCTATGGCTAAGTAAGTTTGAGGAAAACAGACTTAAAGATTAACCAACTTTCTTTACTACATGCATCTCAGATTTTTTAATATGCTGATCTGCATATAGACTCTCCAAAGAGTGACACAATAAATAAGAATTCCAACATTTTTAGACCCTAAAAGATGCTAAATGTGAAATTTGCATGTAACAATTTAGAAACCCTCCCTACCCATAACCCTTCCCTACCCATCACCCACCACACCCCGCCCTTCCAAACACACACGCTCACGTCTCAGGTATTCTGGGGAACATGCTTCAAGAAACTCTGATCTAGAGTTAAGTGTCTGTGTTCCTAACTAAGTGAGGAGTCCTCCTCGATTGTTGTTCCCTGTCCCTCCTTGATTGCTCCCTATCCCTCAGTCCCCACATCCATTCCATCTGCAAGTCCTATCACAGCTGCCTCCAAACCAGGAGGCCTTCACCCACTTCTCTCCATCCAGTTTTCACTCAGGAGCCAGCCCATCCAGGTGCCTACTACAGGCTCCCCCAACCCCAGAGCCTGGGGAAGACAGTCAACCCACCTGCTCAGCAGCCACATTGTCCAGGAGGACAAGGAAGTCCACTCCATCACTACCGTCAATGCCCATCCCTTCCTTCACCTTTTTCAAGTCCTCTGAGATTCCTGGCTGCAAAGAGGCAGCCTGCCTCCGGCCTCTGTCAAAAAATAAAAGGTAATCTTTATACTGTGTAGTGATTAACAGTTTATAAAATGTGCTTCATTCAACATTTGGGATCTCATTTAATCCTCACCACAGCCCACTGGGCTGTATTATTGCCATTTTACAGATGAGTAAACTAAGGCTCCAAGAGGTCAAATGACTTGTAAAACTAAGTTAGCAAGTACCAGGGCCAGAATAAAAGGCTGGATTTTCCAAATCCTTCCCTAGCATTTATTTCTATTATACCAAAAACTATGCAAGAATGGCCCAGGTCTGTCTGAAAACAGTATTCTCTTTCTTCTATGGAATATATACTATATAGTCTTAACATAACCCAGAAACACCAGAAAACTAAAATGTCTTCAGCCCAAACCAATCTATCCTATGTGGCAGCATGTTGGTAAGAGAAGGAAAGTCTGTGTCTTCTGCTTGCATACCTGGATTTGCAGGTCTATGACTGGCTCAATTATCTTTTATTTAACCTGTTGGTTGCCTCATCTGCCGCACCTGAGAGCCCAGAGTTGTTGGGAGGATGATGCTTTGTAAACAGCAAAGCCACACTCATGGCTATATATGTCATCTCACCAGCCCAGCATGTGGCTTTTCCAGGGCTTCCTGTACCTTCACTATGAGCAAGAGCTTCTTCACTTCCTGGGCAGCTGATGTCAGACATGAGTGTAACTCAATCCCTCCCATGCCTTATCCAGCAGCGGGTTAAGCCTGGGAAGACCCTCAGTACAGGCAGAGTCCTGCCAGCAAAGATGGTAAAAGGCTGTCCACCACCAGTGAGCGAGATTTCAAGGGCAGTTACCTGACTCTCTGCCTCAAGCTCCAGCAGTTTTGGTAGTTGGGGTACAAGACTTCAGAGCTTGCCTCATCAGTGTGGATGATGATGGGCCCTGGAAGGAAGTGGGAAGCACAGGCAGGGAGAGGTTTGAGCTTGTTCTCCCCAGCATTTCCACCCCCTCTTCTTCTCTTTGTCCACAGACACTGATGGAGCTGTTCCAAGAGGCAGATCATCAAGGTTATTCCTTAAGAATAGTGAATGCCTTCAACATGCCCTGGCCCTACCAATAGGAGCTTTCTCATGGTCTGAGCAATGGAGAAAGCAGGTCGTAGCCTTGTTCCGTCTAGCACAAGCCCTCCCATTGGGCCACAAATAAACTAGAGCAGGTACAGAACTAGATCAGACTGGTACTTCTCTGACCCCTTTCCAAAAAATCCCTGCTTCAAAGCACTATCAGCACTTGGGCATTCTAATGAAGAATGGGCCACCCCTGACTTTATCAGAACTAAATTACTCTCTTACTTCCCGAAGTTCAATACTATAGGCAAATATGGTGACTTACCACATGACAAACGGAGAAAGATGGTCACAAGGCCATAAATCCTCTGAGACCCCATAGCCTCGCCCAAAATAAAGCCAGGCTTCTAGATGAATTGGTGTCAACCAAAGATTAGACTACAAATAATGATTCTTATGTACCTCGCAACAGCTCGCTGCCACTCAGAGCTCACAAGTATTCACATCCACTCCTATCAATGAAGAACAAAAGGTGTTCTAACACCTTCCCCCGATTTGCTCTGTGCCACAGATGGCAAGTGCCTTTGGCAGGTTCTCTTTACACACAGCTCAAGCCTGATGGCAAAAGAAACAGCTCCCTTCAGCCAAAATTTAGAGTTCCCTGAGGTTAATCCATGGAGTGATTAGGTAAATCTAAGTCCCAAAGAGCCATTTATTCCCAAACAAATTATTGATAGTCAGAACCCCAGGACTTTGAAAGTAGCCTATGGTAACTTTACTAGAATATCAGAATTCAAACATACTTCACTGGTCTGGACAGAAGAAGGAAACCAGACTGAAAGTCATAATAGTTTAATTCTGAATCTGCAATTAACCAGCAGGGTCACCTTGAGAAATCACTTCCCTTCTCTGGGGCTCATCTGTGTATCAAAGGGGTAAGACTATGTCAGCAATTTTCAATTGCTTCTAAAGCAGTGGAAGGTTTTTCTCTCTCCTCCCCTCTACTATTATGCAAAGCAGTAAAAGAAAAGGTGCTGATGGCTACAAGGTGGGGGTCCAAAGCACAGTCCACTTGCACGTCCCATGCCCTCCTTTCCTGAAGTTCCCAAGACCCCTCTGAAGAATCCTGGGCTTCTGTAGGACATGTGAAAAGAATAAACCAAATGATCAGAAGTCCTCTCTAGATATACATGTCCTCTGAGCAGCGGTTGAGCATAAAGGTGAAGAGTATGGATTCCGAACCCAGACTGCCAGAGTTTGAATCCCAGCTCCACCATTTACCAGCTTTGTGTCCCTGGGCAAGTCAATTAGCCTCTGTGTCTCAGTTCTCTCATATGTAAAAGGAGATGATGGTACCTAACTCACAGAGTTATTACAAGAATTAAACAAGTTAATATATGTAAAGTTCTTAGAATAATGTTTGGTGATACTAAGTCCTTTAAGTGTTAGAATAACAATAACTATGATTTAAACCTCTCACATAACACTAATAACACTACAAACCTCTAATATTTCCATTTGGAGTCTGACATTGGTGTCTGGATATAGGACCTACAGTTTACTATAAATAAGGCACACTTGAGTAGATACTCAAATATATGTTGAATGAATGGCTGACTAAATGGGGCAGACCAAAACTCTCCAGTTTCCCCCACAGCCTGATTCTCTGTAGCTTACACATAACCCTCTGGACTTCTCTAGGATTTTACTCCTAAAGCAATAACCCAAAGTTGTACCACTTCCATCACTGGTAGCACCTTCTGGGGTTCTCTGGGTCTATTCAAGTCCCTTGATACTAGGAAAGGCATGGAAGTAGCTGCAAAAGAAGTCAAATTGGAGTCCCAATACCTCTGAGTCCAGTGCAGGGAGCTGCTACCCAGACAGCCACACCAGAGACAGGTGATAATACTGCTTCCTTCTCTGCTGGAAACCTGGGTCATCCTCAGTCTGAGACCTACTTGTAGTAAGGTTGGTGCCAAAAGCATTTTTCCTCAGTCACACTTTTGGTGTTTCTGAGAAGAGGACATTTGCCTTTTAGAAGCTGAGCAAGTGAAAAGATTTCATAAGATCAGGCATTGTGGATTATTCTTAAGCTCAAGAGCTCCCAAGAAGTAAGGGACAGCCCATCCTGTTTGCTTTATGTTACCTAAACATGCATTGTTTGTGTTCAGCTGCCAACTCAGCCAGAATTGGTAGCAGCACCCAGTCCAACTGGGGATAAGGTCAGCCTCATCTGGCCTGAAGGTTCTATTATTCAAAAAAATTTTTTTAAAGTTTGATAAAACATGCATTGTTTGTGTTCAGCTGCCAACTCAGCCAGAATTGGTAGCAGCACCCAGTCCAGCTGGGGGTAAGGTCAGCCTCATCTGGCCTGAAGGTTCTATTATTCAAAAATTTTTTTTTAAAGTTTGATGCCAGCTCCTCTTCCCAACCTACTATGTCTCTCTCAATGCTATCACAATTCTCCTAGGCCCCAAAACTCAAACCTCTGACTCCCTGCTGCTCCACCATCCCCACACCAAACCCTATTGTTATACGGCTAGGAAACAAGTCATCCCTAATGATCCTTCCATTATCTTACTGTCAGAATATAAACCTTATCACCCCCTCCCTTCCACACCAACACCATACATACGTAACCACTCACTAATTTATCCTTTTAAAAAATTATTATTACTTGGGCCGGCCTGTGGCTCACTCGGGAGAGTGCGGTGCTGATAACACCAAGGCCCCGGGTTCGGATCCCACATAGGGATGGCCGGTTCGCTCACTGGGTGAGCATGGTGCTGACAACACCAAGTCAAGGGTTAAGATCCCCTTACCGGTCATCTTTTTAAAAAAAAGAAAAAAATATTATTATTACAAATTTATTATTACCACTACAAATAAATAACAATAATAAATTATTACTAATTTATCCTTTTAAAAATTATTCATTTCGGGCCGGCCCAGTGGCGCACCGCGCTACTGCGCCGCTTGGGAAGCGCGGCGGCGCTCCCGTCGAGGGTTCGGATCCCACATACAGACCGGTTCCCGCTCACTGGCTGAGCGAGGCGCGGGGGCAGCACTGAGGGTTGCGATCCCATTGCCGGTCCCGGTCCGGTACGGGGGCAACACTGAGGGTTGCGGACCGTTGCCGGACACGGAAAAAGACAAAAAAAAAAAAAAATTATTCATTTCATTTAAAAATTTTTTTAATTTAATTTTTTTATTCTTTTATTTTTATCAGTTTGATGTGTGCCCATTGTTTTTATTTATTTTTTTAAAATATTTTTTTATTGAATCGTAATTGATTATATTATACATATTTTGGGAGTTCAACATTGACCAAGTTGATCAAATCAATATTATGAGCATATATATTATTACAAATCATACTTATTCTTTATGCCCCTTGTCCAATCTCTCCCCATCCTCCTCTCCTTCCTCCCTCCCACTTCCAATATCCCTAGATTTCTTCTTTCATTCTGAAAGAGTAACAGTTACTCTGTTGATTTGTTGCCTAGATGGTCTGTCCAATGCTGAGAGGTGTGATCAGATCCCCCACTATTATCATACAGCAGCTGCTTCTTCTGTCACTCTGGCATGGGCTTTGTGGAGAGAGATGTCCTCTTCTTTTCTTTGGTCTCTGCTGGTGACTCTCTTGGTGTCAGTGCACTTGAGTGGATGGTGGACCATCTGCATGGTGTTGTGGAGTCTAGCCGCTTTTGCAGCAGCATGGCTATGGTGGTAACTGTCGTGGGCCACCCATATGGAAGTGGTGTTTTTGGCGTGCTCCTTGCCTGGTTGTGGGAGGAGGGGTCAGTCCCCGACTCCATATGTTTTTACATTCTAAGTTGTTGCAGAGCAATTGGATGGGGAAAGAGGAAGGAAATAGGGTGGGAGAAGGAGGAGGGGGTTACATGGTTGAGGCCCATGGCACCCCCATCATTCTTGCAGAGGAGACCAGGGGGCTTCCAGTGGTGGCTTGGTCATTGCTGGGCTAAATGCAGATGTCAGGGGGGTGTGGCTAAAGCCCTCAGCCCCCCACCTCCCTGGCTCAGGAGACCAGGGGGCTTCCAGCAGTGGTTCAGTGGTTGTCACTGGGCTGGTTGCAGATGTCAGGAGAGTGTGGCTGAAGCTCTTGGCCCCCCACTGCCCTGGCTCAGGAGCCCGGGCTGCTTCCTGGGGCAGTTCAGTCATCATCGCTGGGCTGGTTGTGGGTGTTGGGGGAGTGTGGCCGAGGCCCAAGGTACCCCACTGTCCTGGCTCAGGAGCCCAGGATGGTTCCTCTGGAGCTCGGCAGTCATTGCTGGGCTGGTTGTGGGTATTGGGGGGCATGGCTGAGACCCCTGGCCCTCCCTCCTCCCTGGTTTGGGGGCCCAGGAGGCTTCTGGTCCTTCTAAGTTTTATAGGTGTTCTTTGGTGATGTGGGACCTTTACTAGTTAATATCAAAGTGTTCTTTGGTGATGTGGGACCGTTACTAGTTAATATCAATATTTGTCTCTGGTCTGTGGGTATTTTGTTTTTTCTTTCAGTACTATGTTAGATTAGTTGCAGTTCCCACCACTTAAACTCTGCACTGGAACTAATTTGCTGTCCTTTCGTTACTTTAAAAATGGGGGAACTTCCTGTGGGGACCAGCACTTGAGCCCCACAGTTGAGCTAAATTGCTGCTTTGCTGCTGATTGTCTGGGGAAGCCTTTTTGTGCAGCTCGGGTTTTAATGGTTGACTTTGTAGGTACTTCCGGGTCTCATGAAATCTGGTACACCCAGGTTGTGTGTAAACTCTGGTCTGTACATAAGTCTTTTCAGCAAACTGCTCCCCCTGCAGTTCTATATTCCTGACCAGGCTCCACAGAGTGGTCCTGTGCTGATTTGGAGGCAGATCATCTGTCCATGCTGTGCCCCAACATTGCTCTGGTGGGCCCATCTCCCCCACTGCCCACACTCCAAATGCTTCCCATGGGACGGGCCATGCGCCGGTCCCTTGCAATGACTTACCTGCCTCTGAGTGGCTCCTTTTTTCTGTTGCTATGGCTCTTCACTCCTATTTGGGTCCACAAGAACCAAGGCCCTCATCTCCCCTGCTGCCTCCAAGCAACTTCATCCAAATGGTACAGCTGTGGCTTTTGCCCGCTCTTGCTCCATGCACTCACCAGCTCCAGCTTTGAAGCAGCTGGGATTTGAAATGGTGGTAGTGTTCCTTTCTTTCTCTCATCATGGCTTCTCCTGCCTTCATGAATTCCATAGGTCTCTCCTCCCCTTACCCTGAGCTCTAGAGGTGGCTCTAACCTGGCTGTAGTTGCTTTTTAATAGTTGTAACTTGGCTGATTTGTGGGAGAGAGTGACACTGGTGACTGTCTATTCCACCATCTTGATCAGAAGCCCTTAATTTTATTTTTAATTGACAAATAATAATTGTGTATATTATATATTTATGGGGTACCATGTGATATTTTAGTATATGTTTACATTGTGGAATGTAAAAAAAATCAAACTAACAAATCCATCACCTCACGATTTGAAATGGTGGTAGTGTTCCTTTCTTTCTCTCATCATGGCTTCTCCTGCCTTCATGAACTCCATAGGTCTCTCCTCCCCTTACCCTGAGCTCTAGAGGTGGCTCTAACCTGGCCGTAGTTGCTTTTTAATAGTTGTAACTTGGCTGATTTGTGGGAGAGAGTGAAACTGGTGACTGTCTATTCCACCATCTTGATCAGAAGCCCTTAATTTTATTTTTAATTGACAAATAATAATTGTATATATTATATATTTATGGGGTACCATGTGATATTTTAGTATATGTTTACATTGTGGAATGTAAAAAAAATCAAACTAACAAATCCATCACCTCAAATACATGTTGAATATCCTTTATCCAAAATGCTTGGGACCAGATTTGCATTATACCAGTTGAGCATCCCAAATCCAAAAGTCCAAAATTCCAAAATGCTGGAATGAGCATTTCCTTTGAGTGTTATGTCAATGCTCAAAAATTTTTGGATTTTGGAGCATTTTGGATTTCAGATTTTCAGATTTAAGATGTTCAACCTGTACTTATCATTTTTATGTAGTGAAAACATTTAAACTCTACTCTTTTAGTAATATTTATAGAATCTAAAACAGTTGAACTCAGGGCTGGTCCGTGGCTCACGTGGGAGAATGTGGTGCTGATAATGCCAAGACCACAGGTTCAGAGCCCTATATAGGGATGGCTGGTTAGCTCACTTGGGAGAGCATGGCGCTGACAATACCAAGTCAAGGGTTAAGATCCCCTTACCAGTCATCTTTTTAAAAAAAGAAAAAAGAAAAAAGTTGAACTCACAGTAGAGAGTAGAATGGTGGTTATTAGAGTTGGGGGAGGTGTATAGATGAGGAAAGGGGAAATGTTGATCAAAGGGTACAAAGTTTCAATTAGAAAAAGTAAGCTTTAGTCATCTCTTGTACAGAATGGTGACTATAATAAATAATGCATTGTATATTTCAAAATCACCTAATCAGTCTTGCTAAGCCACTTTCATCATATCAATAGCTTTTTCCTAATGTTTCAAGGTAAGCATCTGGCCTTCAAGGACTTCTACAGCATGGCCCTGTACCCATCGGCACTGCCTCTCTCCCCTCATCCTCCCCAGACCCTGCCCACTCCGTCCTCTGTATCTNGAAATTTTGTTTCTATTTGAGATATTGCTGAAGAAGCTAAACAAAATAATAAGAAACTTTGCTTTATGGCACCATTTTAGTATTTTAATACTGGTGAGGTCATGATGATCTGAAGCTCAGACCGATGATTAAATGTAAATTTGAATCAATTACAAATGACAAAATGCAGCTTCATTTGATGGCCAAAAGCCCTCAATACAAGGGATCCATGAGGGAACATAATAATAATGCAGTCCTTGGTGGTGAAAAGAATGGGAACCAATGATCATAATAATTCACTGGCTGAATACGTCAAAACTCAAACTAGATAGACTTTCTCAACTAGAAGAGGCTGAAGAGAATGCTATTAATGCCATCTGGGTCTTGCTATGGATTATGACCAAGATCAGAGCGGTAAGAACAGTCTTGGGTCCCAGCTAAGTGTCTCCCTGCCCTTCTTCCTTTCACCTGAGCAAGAAGTGTCTCACCTAAGCAAGAAGCCCCCTGTTCTGTTCACAAGACCTGGTTAGGGCTGCCTTATACAGCTTATGTGGAAGCTTGAGAGGAGAAATCAGGAGCCAGAGGCACACCAGAGCAACTGATGCATTGCTGCTGATGTAAAGGTAGGGCTGGCGAGGGCAGCATAAGGCCAGACAGGAAAAGGACCCACTAGAATAGGTACACCATGGAAGTCACATGTGCAGGAGAAGAGAGATCAAGGGATCAGGCACCAAGAAAGAGAGAGGGGCTTTGGAAATGAGAACAAAGAGCTCCTCAGGGACAGGGGCTGACTTTTAGACCCCAAACACGAACCTTCTTTCTGACGTTGGAAAAGCCCAGCCAGCAAACAACGGGTAGACTCCAGATTCCGAAAAATGTTAGTGGAACGAACTCTGGAAAAAATTAAAAGGTAGAGAAACTCATAAAAGAAGCATTTAATTATACTCACTCTACCTTATTCCATCTGGCAGTCTTTCAAGACTACAAAAGGGGAGCTATGTGGCTAGGAAGAATACTCTTTGTGGGATGACTGCCCCCAGGGGACTCGAAGGCCAATGAATGTGACCTCCAGTGACCACCTGTTTACAGGATCTTGTGACGTAAGGGTAGCTGCATCATGACAAGCTGTCCCTCAAACTACCTTAGGTGAGAGTGAGAACCATCTGGGTGTCAGGACAGGTTTCCTCATGCTCAAGACCTTAAATTGGGTGCAACACCCCCTTTTCAAGTGACTCACAAGACCTCCTGTGGGTTGAATGTTGATGAAAGAAAGGGGATGTCCTCCACATAGTTCTTCCTCAGTCTCTCTCCCAGGGCAAACATCTGTTGCATGCCCACCTTGGTCAGCTGTCCAGCAAACATGCCCCCCTGAAGTGGGGAAGAAAGATAGAGAAGAATGAAAACATCTGACAGTCTGCTGAACTCAGCCCAGAGAAAACCATCCAAGCTTTGCAGTAGGCTCCCCAAAACAGGCAACATAGCTTACCTTCAGGGTGGTCTCATGGTACTGAGAGTCATGAGGAGAATGTGGCTTTGGGCCACCAGTTAGATTGGTGACTATATAATCCAATTCAGTTTGGGGTGGGACCTCTAATAGCTGGGGTTTCCACTCTACCTGTTGTGACCACAAAAAACAACATATTGTTTAAAAAGGTTCTTGAAACTTACAACATTAACATCCATCAGCACTGGGAACACATGGATGGAATCACTCCCCACACTAAGCCTGAAACCTACACCTGAAACCTACTCCTCGGAGGGAAGAAAAGAAACTAACTCTAGCTCCAATTAAGGGAAGAAAAGACTGTGATTTTTATTCCAGTTGTCCTTAGCCCAAGTCCTGTTGCTGCTATGCTAGTACTCACTGTTAAGGTGCTCTGGCACTAAGCCCACACTAAAACAAAGGGGAGAAGAAGCCAGAATGCCTGGTGTATAAATACTTGGGTGCTCTGGCACTAAGCCCACACTAAAACAAAGGGGAGAAGAAGCCAGAATGCCTGGTGTACAAATACTTGATGAAAATGAATAAATGAATGAATGAATGAATGAATGAATGAATGAAATATGATCTCAGTGATCATATGTTTGTAAGAATCTCTAAGGAATCAATCTGCAGGTTTCTGGCCCCCGCCCCCCAAATGACTCTACTAATTATCCCTTGTAACTACCGCGTTATTTCCTTTCCTTTCATCCAGTTTCTGAAATGGCATCTGCCATGTAAGAAGCCTTTGTTTCTTCATTATCTTTATTCCTTCAAATCTGGCTCCTGCCCCAACTGTATTGTAATGTCTTTCAAAACATCACAAGTGGCCACAGGTCTCACTGTGTCAACTGCCCATAAAATTCTTATACTCGTTGAGTCTGATGTGATTACCTCAATTTAAAAACAAGTCTTTTCTTCTAATCGCATATACCAGCTCCTCTTCCCAACCTACTATGTCTCTCTCAATGCTATCACAATTCTCCTAGGCCCCAAAACTCAAACCTCTGACTCCCTGCTGCTCCACCATCCCCACACCAAACCCTATTGTTATACGGCTAGGAAACAAGTCATCCC